CAAAACATGTCTGACTATAGTCTATAAGCAACAGATTAATCATTACTATTGATTAACTTACGATTACTTATGTAGGTAAGTAACCTAACCTACATATACATAATTATTGATTTATTCTATTGAGTATTGTTGACTATTCAACTATTGTATAATATTATATAATTATTATTAACATATTTTGTATTCTATATTTGTATATTTAAAAGTTTGTTATATAACAATTATTGACTGACCTTACATAAATATAAAAATATAATACTCAGATTATTCATATAACTTTATTGCTCAATATACTATATTACTATCTGTCCGTTTTGTTCAATTGAACAAATATTATTATTATTAAATATTGATTTGATTTACTCCATCTTGTGATGAATTGACTAGATACTACGCAATTTATTAGTATGAACTATTATTATATGTATTATATATGATTAAAGTACCTACCTAAAAATTAGTATGTTTTATGCATACCTGCAGCCTGCAGGGAATATTTTTATCATGGAGGGAGCCCAGTAAATATTTCTGACATCCGGCTACTTTAACATAAAGTCTTATGACTCGTATAGTTATTAGTTAGTATAATCAGATTAACATATTATATTATAGTCATATTATAATAATGATGAACACATATAACCCATCGATTATTAATTCATGATAAATTAATTTATACACGGGGTGCAGTATTACGAGGATTTGATATAAATTTCCTTTGTGATTTATGCAAAGTTGGTATTTTGCTTAAATAATTTAATTTATTTCAAGAAAGTTTACTAAGTTAAGAAAAATGTATTTCAAAGTTTAAATTAATTTGAGTAACTAATTAAAGTCACACATTTTTGAGAAAAATATAGCTAAGTTTATTTAAAATTTGAAATTTTTTAAATAGCTGAACTGGAAAATGGTCGAGTTTTGTTATAAAACTATGATTTGGAAAATTAACTTTAATACAATATATGATACAGGTGTAACATAAATGAACCGAATTACTCGTAAATGAAGTTAAAAATTTATGCTCTCATTTATAGAAGAAAAAACTTTAAAATGGTAACGAAAATATCAGTAAAAAATAAAAATATTAATTTTTTTTTTTCATAAACGTTGCTTTGTAATGACTCCAAACTGCCATTACAGCCTACAGGTATCTTTTTTTTTCTGTTTGAACCGACGACGCCGCCATAGGTATCTACATGTATAAAAAAAATATTTCAAAAAGTTGATTTTGTTCAAGAAAATGAGTGTTTACGTTTTAAACATTTTTATTTTACAATTGTGTTAGACGCGCATAACTCACTTAAAAACAGAATTTTCGTAAAAATACTTCCAACTAATTCAAACAATGTTCTTATCATCAAGTTTTATAATAGGTCTATACACTCTAATTTTTAAGCTAACGGAGTAAAACGCTGAGTGTAAATTTGTTATGTTACGCGTTTGTAAGACGGAGACAACACATGCGTATGTGGCGTCCTTTTAATAGTTACACCTTGTACATGATATAATACATTAAGACTCATAAGACGCGTATAGATCGCTCATACGATACTTAAACTTGAATTGCTTATAAACGATATTAATTAATCTAGTAGTTTTTTTTTGTTTATAAAAACATCTATAATACATTAATACATTCTGCAGTATTTTTGCTCGAACTGCAGCTGAGGAGTTTAATGTTGTTCACTCGTTGTCGTTACAAATTATATACTATAACACCCGTTCGCGGCGTCAATTGCAGTTTCTTCCGCGCTTCCCATACCACTTAAATATAAATACAAATAAGTGGCGGATGTAATATTTTTCTCTTGATTTGAATTATTTTTTGTTCGATTAATAAAATAATAAAACCCAACAGATAACAGATAACCACTCCTTACTCCTACATCAGAGAATAATTCGTCCGGTTTGCACGTCCTCTCACCAATCCGCTGCACAAGCTCATCAGATCTGCGCACGACATTTTAGATTCTAGCTGTACCGAGCGAAAAAACTATTTTATAAATCCCGTGCGTCATAGCGTGGTTTCCAAAAGAGAATGCTTAAACATTGTTTCTAAATAACATTTACGTATTATTGTTATATAAGC